TGATGCTGGTAAAAATTATGATGAATTATTTTCCAAGGTGAGAAATACAAGAAACTATTATAATAGAAATCTAGCTAGTTCAACAGTGAGACCTAGTTGCCAATCTAGTAGTGCACTTAAATTCATGCAGTTGAGGCACTAAGGAGAGAACTGATCAGAAGAATTGCTATAAAAATATTTTTGGAAAGGCAGAGGGAAGCCATGTTATGGCAGTGAGAATATGACTGAAGCCGAGATGCCAGATCAGGACTGATAACATTGCAGACCCTTCTTTGAATTTTGTCAAGAACCTCAAGATATATATTTGGAGCACCAGACCAGATATCGTAGCAGTAGTCAATGCATAGAAGAATGGTAGATTTATAAATGTGCAAAATGATGAATTGTCTGGCATGATACAGCAAACCCACTTTCCCAGCAGTAGATCAAGCAATTGATTCAATATAATCATTCCACTTCATGTCAGTGGAAAATGAGGTCAAAAAGGTGCAAGGTTTTGCTCTCCTGGAGTTTAGTATCAGCCATGCTGATGGCAGGCAGAAAAGGTTCTGTGTGGTAATTAAATGAAAGCAGTTTTGTTTTGGAGGCAGTAAAATTTACAAGCCATTCCTTGCCCTGGTTAACCACTGATTGGAGGTCTTTTTGATAGCAGTTTCCAGTTCTGTTGAACTTACTAAGGCAGGAGCAAATAGTTGTGTCATCAACATTAGATACTTAGTTGTAAACTGATTTCATCGGAGAGATTGTTGATGAAGATTGGAAACAATGTAGGTCCAAGGATAGAACTCTGGAGGACCCCTGCATTAATATGAAATGAACTAGAAGTGTTCATTCAACACATTCTTGATTAGATGATATGTCTACTGCCATTGATTAAATAAAGGGTTTTGTTCAGAATTCCTTGTAAAAATAATGTGTAGAGTAATCCTGCAAGATATGGAGGAGGGTTATCTTGGTGGAGCAACCAACCAACCACCTGTAAACCTGATTAAAATAAAGGCATACAAAAGCTCTATAACAAGATCTATGTGTATTACAACTGTCAAAACAAATACAATTTTCAATGGTGTCCCTTGTAAACTTTATAACCCCTTGTGACTTTGTGGCTTTATTGCCTTGTTTGTAGTGAAATAATAAAAACAACTATTCACACATATTAAAGAGCTACAACAGCTTGCACAATACCAATCTAGCAAGCTGGATGCAGAGCATGCAATCTCCTGCATACATGAACTTGACCATCTGCATCATTTTTTCATGGTTTTCTGATGATAATCTCTAACCCAGAGTAGGTGTAGAAATAGATCTTGTGTTACTAGTAACAGTAATCTTGTTGGTGAATGACCACAAAACTCCATGGAATGAAGTGCACATTAACCGATGTGTTGACTGATGGGTCGAGTGGCACCATCATTGAATTGAGATTGAAATTTGATGCAACATTCCCCTTTGTTGAGTAGAAAGCATCCTTATCATTTACAAGCAGTTTTATTATTGCAGCATCTGTGGGCACCTGTAGTTTTTATGCACACAATAATAGTCTGTTCATATCTATCTAAGTATGTTCAATAACAAAATGATGGCAGATGCAGTCATAATTTTCTTGTAAAAATCTGAAAACCTTCATTGGTCTGCACTGTCATAACTTTATTAATTCATTATATTAACTTATACGCATATACTGTTGGGAAAGATATGAATCTAATTCTTCTCACCCTAACTATGGGTTAATTATTAAGACTTTTATCAACAAAACCATTATCTCCCCAAAAATAAATAAAATTGTGTACAAAATATTTAGATTTCAGCATGAAATAACCCATAGAGGTTTTGATATGCTACTAAACATAAACAACCAACCAACAACTAGTACTTAGTATTGTTTCCAAACTGCTATAGACATATTGTAACATACAATACAACCTGTTTTGTAATATATTTTTATTATATTGTGTTGGAGGGGATGTTAATTTTAGTCTGTAGCACAGAATATCCAGTCAAAATTAAAATAATGGATAGCGGTTCGGATTGAGGAATCGGAGTAATGGATAGCTTCTCGGATTGAAGAATCGGAGTAATGGATAGCGTCTCGGATTGAAGAATCAGAGTCATGGATAGCGGCTTGGACTGAGTAATCGGAGTAATGGATAGCGTCTCGGATTGAGGAATCGGAGTAATGGATAGCGTCTCGGATTGAAGAATTGGAGAGCTGAATTCACATTCCAGTCTGATCCATTACATTTACTTACATGCTAATACACTTGGGAAAGGTATGAGTCCTCTTCTTCTTACTCTATCTATGGGTAAAATAGCAGGACACTGGTTTCTATAGCCTTGTGTGGCAACCTGTCTAGAACAAAGTAAGTGAATTCAAAAATGTATGTAGCCTTGGCATAGCACATTGTATACAGCTAAAGAAAGGATTGTTCGCATTGATTCAATGATCTCAACAACACTCAACCTGGATGGATGGAATATAATGAACCAGACGCAACTCTCCAATTTTTCATTTTGAGCCAATATCCATTACGCCACAACTCACATTCTATCGACTTGCTACCAAGACAAAAACCTTGATGAAGAAAATTGCATGTTGCCTGATTAGTCAACTCATAGACCAATGAAAAGACATATTTACTGTTCTTTTTTCACAAGACTTGTGACCATCAACTGGCGCTATCAAATTTATTTCAGAAATACAATATATTTCCAACAACCTGTGTAATGGTTTATTAATTAGGCAATGATTTCTTTTTCTTCTTGTCCTTAACCTACTTTGATGGACCCCCATCATGTTACATATTAAGAACCTCTTCTAAAAAGCAATATTGCTAATTTTTCATATTTGTCAGATATGTCAAGGTGAGCCAAGAACTTTTCAGCATCCCTGCATGTTATGTTATCAAATTACCAAAATAGTTATATTCAGATGGGCAGTTCACCTTTCTAGATGTAGGAGACTTTTCAGATGATAGTGAATAGTATCACACACACACACACACACACACACATTCCTTTGGTAATAAGAATATTCCACTCATGAAGCTTTTTCCCAAGAACCACTACTTTCTGGAAGAGGCTCCCACGTGGATGCTTCCCTGAATACTGCAATCTCTTCAGGTCAATGTTCAATCATTATCTATTCTATATATCCACATGATCTTCACTTCCTACTTTCTCCTCTTCTTTTATGTCTATATCAAACAACTCATTCAGTAATCCTCTACTTGGAGTGACACTTGGGCTTTGTATTGGGTGGATATTAGTGAAAAAGAAAATGGATGCACATTACATTTTCTATATGAAGCTAAATTCTTAGCTCAACCTACTTTTTTAAATCTGACGACATGATTAAACATCAGAACTTTTTTCTTTTTAATCTCTTTTTATAACATGAGTATTCTGTGATATGTATATTATTCCATATTTATGTGATATCTTCAAACTATTATATTTCAATTAAATGCATCTTTTGTTTGTATACTAATAAATGTTGTTACAAAAAAATCAAAATTTTAGTTCCACTTTTCTGATTGGTTATTTCCTTTTCTTTTTTCTTAACATTTTTTAGCCAATAATTACAAAGAAAGCAAATGTGAACACGTACTGGAAGCCATGAGAAAATGCTGTGAAAAATACCGGGCTGAATCCTCTTGCTGTGCTGGCTTTAAACCAGTGGGGACAACACACAAGTCCTGATGACCCTGTTTGTCTTTCAGGATGGTTTAATTTAGTGTTTCATTTCTGGGATGTGTAATTGTACTATTTTGAACTGTTGCTCTCATCTTCGTTGATACAGATTATAACATTGAAATGGTGTTTCGACAAAGTACCCTCTGGCCATCATCAGGAAAGAAACACTGGTGCAGCATGAATGAACAATAACTGACATCACAGGGATGAAAATAATATAATAACCAACAGATATTCGATATCAACCAAACACTGAACAGCTGATGATGACCAGAGTGTTTTTGGTCAAAATGTGTCTATAATAGCATCTATAACAACCGAGATGTGGGACTCTTTGAGGCAGTGTAATGGTTAGCAAACTTGTCTTGCTAGAACAATTACAACTGAGTAGTGAGTTCGATCCTCACTGGGTGCCCCATATTTTTGGCCTTGTGCCACATCTAAGCTACGCTTGGAAAATCACTTCAACAACCAAGATGAGAAAAAGAGTTTAAAATAGTACAAGTATATTGATTAGTATATCTATAAGTTTTAGGAGAAAAAATGTGTTTTTCTACTTTGTGTACCAGAAAAAAAGTCAAAATCTTTATCAGAAAGCATTTTTCTCAAATTAAAAATTTTAACAGAATAGATCACTGCAAACCTTCAACCGGTGGAAGAGAATAACATTTTCTGTCTGATTTATTTGTCTTTTGCAAGGTAAAATAAATGAAATATTTTATTTAATATCTTATGTTTTTTGGCATATTTTGTTTGATTTGTTGACTACCAAAAGAGTATGAATGGATATGCAAACAATTGTGTATGGTTAGCCATTTCTCTGCTGCATTGTTATAGCATTGTTGCCTGGCTGTGCTGGCCCATTTTGGAAAATAAAATTCTGATTTATTCAAAATAAATAACTATAACTATATAATTGATAGCAATTTTTTTTTTTTAAACTGGATACAGACTAAAAATTAACATCCCCTCCAACACAATATAATAAAATATATTACAAAACAGGTTGTATTGTATGTTACAATATGTCTATAGCAGTTTGGAAACAATACTAAGTACTAAGTAGCATATCAAAACCTCTATGAGCATTGAAATCTAAATATTTTGTACACAATTTTATTTATTTTTGGGAGATAATGGATAAAAGTCTTAATAATTAACCCATAGTTAGGGTGAGAAGAAGTAGATTTACCTTCCCAACAGTATATGCAGAGTATAAGTTAATATAATGAAAACTGGGATTGAAAATGGTCCAGTTAACAATTCTGAGCCATTATCCATTACACCACCTGCTCATCTAACCCTAAAGCCCCTGGTCTTCCCAAGTGGTCACTCATTAAGGTGCTGAACAGGCTCGACATTGCTTAACTTCAGTGATTGTACGGGAACCAATGTTTTGATGTGATGCGACCATAAGATTCAAGTTCTAGTTGTTCATAACACAAACACAAGAGGCCGTCACATGTCACAGTATCTTGAAAAATATATATATATATATATATATATATATACGAACGTCATCCACAGACAGACTGTTTCGCTTGGCTCATCAGTGTGGCTAGACATCCGGTTGCCTCTAGCTAGGATCGAAGAGACTGAAAAAAGCTGTTGGCGGTAGGGATGAAAGTGGAGGTTGTGATCAACAGTGACTCAATGCAGTCTTATATGCTATAATAGTCATTGTTTACCAAACACCGTCCCCAGAGAGCTCAAATATATATATTAGATTTGTGCTGTAATTTGCAGACTGTAGTTGTACATTTGAGTTTTATTAAAAAATAAGAAGTATCTATTTTGTTGGAAGCAAGAATGATAGAAAACCAAAAGTCTATTGGTAATTAGATAAAAACTGGATCCTACTGTGTGTTTGGTCACTCCAAATATTTTTTGGTGGTACAAATACTCGTTGGTGCATATGTAATTTTTTTTTTTTTGCTTGATTTGCTTTTTTAAAGAAATTCTTTTTAGCTTCATTTGCTTTTTTAAAGAAATTCTTTTTAGCTTCATTTGCTTTTTTAAAGAAATTCTTTTTAGCTTCATTTGCTTTTTTTAAAGAAAACACTTCATTTGCTTTTTAAAAAATTCTTTTTTAGCTTCATTTGACACTTTTTTTAAAGAAATTTTTGCAATTTTGCTTTTTTATTTTTGGTTTCTTTGCTTTTTAAAAAAATTATTTTTCTTATTTAAATAACCCTGTTTTTTTCAAAAAATATGATATTGCCAAATTTAATGTTTTCAAGTTAAAGCAAAAAAAATACATTGGGACTGACATATCGGTTGAAAAAGGCATCAACGAAGATGAGACAAAGAATATTTCTAAAACTGGCAGATGAGAGGTAAAATCTGTCTATATTTGGATGACATATAATGAATTTCGACTGGTTTCAGATTAAATCTGCACATGGCTCTAAAATATTGACAGTATATACAGTGCAATGATGACATGGCATCTGTAGATGGAGATGCATGAGTTGGAGGTTGAGTTATCAATGTAATCAATAGCCATGTGACTGTAACTAAGGTGAGCTTTCAAGTTTGAGGGCATCGGTTATATTTAGAACTGGAGAGAGATGGGATCCACCATGTCTACTTGCCCACAGCATGCTATACATAAATGAATACTACTTCAGGCATTTGATTCCAATATATAGTGTTGTGGGTAGAATATTGGTCCACAGATATTGAATGAGGGAAGACACCAACAAACATGGTCCAAGAGCCACTCAAAGCAGAAGGTTACTGAATGTGGTGCATGGTCTGAATAGAAGAGGATTATGAAGAGAAATAAAGATGAGTTGATTAGCAGCATGCTTTTTTAGACACTAAAACATAGACACACCAATGTATGTCACCCTTTCAAAAAAATATATATTGCCAAATTTATTTTCGTTAAAGAAAATACATTGACGAAAGTAAGGTTATGGTGCACTAGGCCCAAAATATCTCTGCATGTTTATGTAGCGGGTGAGAAGAGTGTTGTCTTAAGAAGGACAATTTTGGTAGCTGGTGAAAAGTGTTGTTCTGAAAAGAACAGTTCATTGTATATCGATGCTGGTTAGAGATGGCTGGTTAGAACTGCAGGCTGCTTGGCTACAGCTGCAACAGGTACTACACCTTGATCCCAGGCATTTTGGTCCAGATTGTTGTCTTTGTTAATTTTTGAGTACTTTTTTATATGCTGATTCAGTTTTAGATCAGTCGCTGGACCTGGAAGGTGAAGTTTCTTTCTCTGGTTGTTTTTTTTTTAAAATGTGGGTGTGCTGACAGGATATGACAATAGAGTGAACCTGTCAGGTGCTCAGATGCAGTGACCCCACCTAGTCAAGCAACGGATGATACTATTCAGATGGCAAAAAAAACAAGAAAGAAACTGATGCATTGTACACACATAATAAAATTAATCTATATGGTGAAAGATTTTGTTTTGTCTATCTTGACAGAAATATAGCCTTTACAAAAAGTGGTGTAAATATCTACATTGGCAAGGCATGGGCTGGCAATTAGAGGCTGGCAATGGTTTAGAAATCAAATCAAATTTGTAAAAAGATCCAAACTTAACAAAAAATTCTGAAAAGAATTTTGATGCTGTAGGATATTTTTGTATTTTTTTTATTACATTAATGTCCCTTCAATACATGGCCCAAGAGCCACTCAAGCCAGAAGGTTACTGAATGAGGTGTGTGGTCTGAATGTAAGAGGAGTATGAAGAGAAATAAGGATTAGCTGATCAGCAACCTGCTTTTTTAGACAATAAAACGTAGACACACCAATATGTGTCACCCTTTCAAAACATAGATTTAATAATCATGCAAACCAGAAGACCTGCCAGGCACAATGAATGCCAATAAATGCCCATGAAAATGAGAGAAAGAATTAAGAAAATCTGTTTAAGGATCTGCAATGTAATCAATTCTGACTTAGCATCTCGACTTCAGTCACTTTCCCACTGATATGACGTGGCTTCCCTCTGTCTTTTCTACAAATATTTTCATAGTAATTGCTCTGACAAGCTATCTTCCCTGGTGCCCTGACTACATGAATTTAAACGTGTTACTAGATTGACATCTAGGTCCCACCTTTTTATTGTTGAAATAGTTAAATGCAACCGCCACTTCTATTCCAATAGTTTCTTTTCTGGCACTTCCTGCCTGTGAAATTTCCTTCCGTTTACTTGCTTTCCTGATAACTACAATCTTCAAAAATGTAAATGCAATGTCAATCGCCATCTTCTGTTGTCTTGAACCCTGTTCAACTTTTATCCTTTCCTTGGCACCACATACCCAGTCTTTTCTCTCACCTTCACACTCTGTAACCTTTTGCGTACTAGTGGCATTTTTGCTTGCTTCAAATGATAAAAAATTGAACAAAAAAAAACATAGAAAGAACAAGAGTTCTACCTATTGAATGCACGCACACACACACACACACACATACGGATAAGAAAGACTGGCTAACTCTTCCCACTTTACAACTACAATTTCTTCCTCTAGCAACTTCTGTTTTTTAAAATAAAGTTTTAACATATACTAGCAGAATGGCCTGGCATTGCCCGTGCTTGATTAAAAAATCATACGACTCATACAGCAATCGCTATCACTTGACTTAAAATATTTTTGCTCTTCCTTGCCTTTAAAGGAGTGCCCTTTGCCGTGCTGATGTTGCTACATGCCTTACTTCTTGCCTATCTCACACTGCAAATTTTTTCTAAGCTCTATACTAAACATTAAATCTGTTACAAGAAAAGAACTAAACAAAATGATCAGCTTTAAAAAAAGGACTCATAACTGGAAAAACCGAATGAAAAAAGAATGTTAACAACAAATACTTTTTCACACCCAACCCAGTTCTGCAGAATCAGAATCAATGTTGAGTTTAAGCAAACGAATGAGCCAATTGGAGTAAAGTGCCATGCAGATTTAAATTTTTCCCACTTGTGACAAATGCAGCTATCGATTTTTTTGCACGCTAGCATGCTAGTTAGCATTCGTGTCAGTCAGCTGTTGGCTCTCACGCTGGCCAGTAGAATCTTCCTGCCTATTCGTGGCAGCCAGCTATAGGCTCTCACACTGGCCAGTAGAAAATGGCCGCAAACTACATGAAAACTGCTCTAGAAGCATGAAAAAATCGATTATTTCCACTATCGATGGGAGTTGGGAAATGCAAAGTTGGTCTTGGCCTTCGCGCTAACTTGCAGCATGTAAATTTTGGTGCAAATCCGTCGAAAATTGCGGCCGTGCATTCGTTACACACACACACACAGACACACACACACACACACACACACACACACACACACAGACATCCTGCCTTTTATAGATAGAGATTGTTCATAGGCTTTTTTCTCAGCCTTATCTTTTTTTTAAGCAAATCGCCCCAAGTTGCCACTAGTACGCAAGGGGTTACAGTAAGAGTAAATAGGGGTGTTTGGGGAAAAGGATAAAGAGAAGGACATGAATCAAGGTCAAGGCATCAAAAGATGTCGATTGACATTACATTTGAAGATTATAGCTATCAGGGAAGCAAGTGATAGGAAGGCAGTTCCATTGACGGGAGGTTCGTGAGAAGAAGCTGTTGGAGTAGAAGAGATGGCTGCGTTTAGTAGTTTCAACAGTGAAAGGGTGTGACCGAGATGCCAACCTAGTAGCACGCTTAAATTCATGCAGTTTGGGAATCAGTGAAAGTAACTCGTCGGAGCAGTTGCCATGAAAGTATTTTTAGAAAAGACAGAAGGAAACCACAGCACGTCTGTTAGATAGCAACTGCAGACGGGATGCCAGATCAGGACCAACCACGTTGCATATCCGTTCTCTGGATTATGTCGAGGACCTCGAAATGAACAGCGGAAACATCAGGCCATATACGGCAGCAGTATTCAATGTAAGGTCGAATGGTTGATTTGTAGATTTGAAGGATGGACTCAGGCGAGAAAAACCTTCTGGAGCGACACAGCCCATAAGATTTTCAGTGAATATATGACATTCACATTATTAAGTTTTTCCAACATCCGAATAAGTTGTTTTGTCAGAATTAAAAGTAGTAAACTTTCTAATGTCCATTTTTTTTTAATCCGAATACTTTCAATTCTCATCGCTACAGTCATTAGTCTGCGTACGAAAATGTGTATTGCTAATTCCGACGTTCTCTCCGATTTAAAGTTATTTTACGACAGTCAGACAGATTTTTGACATATTTTTTTTTATTCATACACACTACAATATAAAATCTCTTATTGAGAAAGACATCCTATTTAATGTTGGTTGCTTCCCTTGTATTACAACATCTTCCAGAATTTTAAGTCTTTCTTTGAATTGAGTTCTATGTAAATTTGTTTTAGCAAAATAGCAAAAGCTGGAATTAGCAAAACGTATATGCATAGACAGACTAAACACGCTATTTTTGG